GCTAGTTATGAAGCCAAAAATAATTCAAATGGGAGTTTTGGAGAGACCAGTTCATTTAAAGCCAAGTGATCTAGAAGCTTTCCTAGAAGAAGAGAGGTCTGAGAGTGTTCTGGGAGAGGACTGTAGACAAGAAGCCCTGAGAAGAAAGTCACCCAGACACACCCAGGGAAGACTGAGAGAAAAGGCTCCCGGCAGGCACAGGCGGCGGCATGTAGCACCCGGCAAACAGGTCAGGCTGCCGGAGGTAGGTGCTGGGAGAGACGGGAAAGAGAAACCCAGAAGGTCGTTGGGGTCAAATGATGGGCAGGGGATCACTTGGCTTCCAGGAAGGAAAATTGATTTCTGCTCTTCTGAATAAAAGGGCTTTGTGGGAAACAAGGGGGCCCCGTGGGTAAGGAAGGCGTCCGTGCAAAGAATGAAAACCATAGAGCAACTGGCCTTGCCCGAGCTGGCAGCACTGGAAGGTTGCTGCGGATGGCGCTTGGCTTACAGCCATCTCACACACAGTAATATCCTGAGTCCTCCGCGCGGCCTCTGATGCCCCTGGGCACCAGGCTCCTGCCTGAGCCGCCCCCGTGTCCCACCCCCCTCCCCCCCAACCCCTCCCCCGCTCCCCACCCCCCACCCCCACCCCCACCGCCGTACACTCTGCTCCAGCCACACAGACCTCCTTTCTGTTCTTGGAACAGCAAGCGCACCGTGCGCTCACCACTTTTGCACCCAGGACCCTCCACTTGGATGGTTCCTCCTCCAGATAGTCACAGGGCTCCCCCTTCCCTTCACTCAGATGTCTGCCGCCTTCTCAGAGAGGCCTTTCTTAACACCCAAGTAAAAACAGTTGCCCTCCCACCCCCACCTCCAACCCCAACCCCCAGCCCCCTTGCTGGCTCAGTTTTTCTTTCCAGCGCTTATTTTGTCCATCTATCAAATATCCCTTTATTTTCTTTTCATCTGGAATAATCTCCACCCCCATCCCCAGGTTTTCGTTATAACATGGATTTTTTTCCCCCTTCAAAGTCCGTTTCTTTTCTCTATAGCTTCTGGAAAAATTAAAACAGCTTACTAAACCTCTTTTAAGGGTGGGGGGAGGGGTTTTTAAAAATAGACTTTATTTTTCCAGAGCAGTTTTAGGTTCCCAGCAAAACTGAGCAGAGTATAGACAGTTCCCCTATGCCCTTTGCTCTCAAAAGACACACAGCCTCCCCCACTATCACCATCCAGAGTGGAATGTGTGTTACAAACCATAAACCTACACTGACACATAATTATCATCCAAAGTCCATAGCTTACTGTTATGATTCATTCTTGGCGCTGTGTACTCTATGCATTGGGACAAATGTATAATTACAGGAATCCATTATTACAGGAGCATAAAAGTATTTTCACTGCCCTTAAAATCCTCTGGGCTCTGCTTATTCATCTCTCCCTGTTCCCTAACCCTGGCAAACACTGATCTTTTTACCATCTCCATAGTTTTGCCTTTTCTAGAAAGTCACGTAGTATATAGACTTCAGAGTGGCTTCTTTCACTTAGTAATATGCATTTAAGGCTACTCCAAGTCTTTTCCTTCATAGCTAATTCTTTTTAGTGCTGAATAATATTCCATTGTCTGTACCATAGATAATTTATCCATTTACCTACTGAAGGACACAGTGATTGTTTCCACATTTCAGCAATTTTGAACAAAGCTGCTACAAACATCCACATGCAGACTTTTAAGAGGACCCATGTTTTTGGCTCCTTTGGTATTGTATGGGAAGAGTATGTTTAGTTTTGTCAGAAATTGCCAAACTGTCCCCATTTATTTTTGTCTATTTATTATTTACCTCCCCACCTAGAATACAAGCACCATGAAGGCAAGGACTTTGTCTAATGCTTAAAATTTGTTATTGCTGTTCAGTCGCTCAGTTGTGTCTGACTCTTTGCGACCCCATGGACTGCAGCACGCCAGGCTTCCCTGTCCTTTTCCATCTCCCAGAACTTGCTCAAACTCATATCCATTGAGTCGCTGATGCCATCCAACCATCTCATCCTCTTAGAATAGTGTCTGGCATATAACAGGTGCTCCATAAAACTGGTAGAAATCAATGAATGAGTACATGAATCCCCGGCAGCCCTTGAGCTTAAGGTATCTCATTACTTCTCAGCAGCAGGATTTGTGAATCTTGGTTTTCACTCTTCTCCATCGTGCCCTGTTTCCTGTTACTCCCAGGCAATTCCTCCCCCATCTACTCAACACAGCTTTTCTCTGACAGCTTCTACTAACTCGTCACCCTGGCTTACTCAGAGCTCCCCGCATGCTGCTACCACCTCCTCCTGCTCAGCTGTTCAACTTCTACTCCCTCTGCTGAGCTCCAACTCTCCCTGACCTACCAGCTGAAATTCCAGGGGCAGAGAGGCTGACTGGGTCAGCCCATTCCCCATTTAGACAGAGGTTTGGGGTCTTTGACTATGGTCTGGGCTTTTCAACCCTGCTGATTCAATCAACCATGGCCACGGGCACAGAGCAAGACGAAGAGCACTGTTCTTTCATGCAGCAGAAACACATGGAGGCCAAAGTGCTTTAATGGCCTGTTGACCAGAGCCTGGGGTCCTGGATGAAGAATTTACCCTTTAGGGAGACACTGAAGGCTTCTGAGAAGAGCAGAATTGATTGACCAGATCTATGGTTTCAGAAGATAACTTTGGCTGTCCCACAGATGAGACAGTTGGTGGCTGAAGTGGGTGACACATGCAAGACAAGTTGAACAGCTGTAGCCAAGGTCAGCAGGTGAGGCCTCAAACCAAGCCAGTGCCATGAAAGTGATGGGCGGGGGAAGCAGGAGTGAGTGGGTCTTGAACCTGAATCTAGCCATCAGGCACATGAGGCTGGGTCTAGACACCTGGAAGTCATAAAGGCACTAGTTATAACTGTAAGGTGGATAGTGTGGCAAGAGAGAAGCCAAGGTGGATATTTGGGGGAAATCTCTTAGATATAAGGGCTTTGCTTGTGGCTCAGCTGGTTTAGAATCCACCTGCAATGCAGGAGACCTGGGCTTGATCCCTGGGTTGGGAAGATCCCCTGGAGAAGGGAAAGGCTACCAACTCCAGTATTCTGGCCTGGAGAATTCCATGGACTGTATAGACCACGGGGTCACAAAGAGTTGGACACGACTGAGTGACTTTCAATTCAATTCAATTCAATTCAATTCTTAGATATAAAGAACACATCAAAGCAGAAAAACTTGACAAGTGATCTAAATTGGAAATATTTATACAGACAGGTAGGGACTGAGAGAGCCACAGAGCTCAAGAAAAACAGGGAAGCATTTCCCCAGCTTCCTCTCGTATTCTCAAAAGAACAAGTCCAGAGGGTCCTGTGTTAGATCTCACTCCTCTCCAAACCCCAGGCTTCTAGTCTGACTGTTTTCTGGCAGAAGGTGATGCTACTTCTTGGGAATCCACAATAGTCTAAAAATACAGCAGCTGGGCTGCAGTGCCACAATTAGTAGAGCTGCTGTCCCAGGAAACCCTCGTCACATTTTGCTCAGATCAGAGAGCGGATTAACTTTGATGTCTGTCTGAACTCCGTGCGAGACACCACTGGTGGTCTGCTTCCTGCAAGCATTCAATCTTCACATGCAAGGCAAGAAGGAGGAAGTGCCGCATAGGAGCCCAAACAGACTTTTATTTTCTCTCAGTGATTGAGATGAAAATATGCACCCTAGGACTCCTGACATATTTGATTTGCATCCCGGCTCCCTACATCCCTTGAGCTCTCTCTCCCTTTGTGTGAATACCTTCCCAGACCCGAACTTCCTTTGGCATTCACAAACATTAGCACAGCTGTGAAGCCCCAAGCCCTTCATCTCTGCTGTGTGTTGGAGGTAATTGTGGGCATTTCTTTATCTATTAGGGCTCCTAGTGGCATGCAGCTGAAACTGACTCTGACTAACTGAAATCCAAAGGGAGTTTACTGGAAGCATATGGGGTGACCTGTAGAATACAACAGTTGAGATCAGGCTGCAAGACGGGACAGTGAGGCAAGTGCACATCTAGGTCCCCAGGCAAGTGGGAGATATGTCATAATCCTACAAGAACATTAGCAATGGAAGAAATCCACTGCAACAGTGCTGTCTTTGTGTCATCATCCTCATGATTCTTATTTCTAGGAGAAAAAGAACAACTGGGCCTGGTTGGAGCAACCCATACTCAGACAACATGAGCTCACTGACTTTGCAAGGCAGTTTAGAGGGGTGGTAAGGGCCAGTCTCTGCAGCCAGACAGCATGGATTTGTATCCAGGTTCTGCCACTTACTAGCCATGTGACCTTGAGCTAGTCCTTTTTCCATTGCTCCAGATTCGGCCCCTGCAATGGGGATACCTATCTATGGGGGTTGGTGAGTACTGATGGTGTAAACCTGTCATAGTGACTGGCACAGGGGAAGTGTTCTATAGCCTTGGTATCAGTACTGCTAGGAACGCACAGGGCCCCTGGATTTACAGTCCAACCAAGAATGCCAAGGTGAAAGGTCATCCTCAGAAAAGAACCAGGAGGTATCATTAGGAGAGGCTGAATGTCCAAAAAGGAATTACTGTCCATGGCCAACAGCTCGTCCCTCTGCCAGACTGTAGCCACCATGAGGACAACAGTTCTCCTCTCAGTTCACTGCTGCATCCACCAGCAGCTGGCTTGGCGAACCTCGGTCAGATATGCAAAGACTGATCTGACTGCTTCCTTTTTGTGTTCCTGATCAACCAGCACAGGGCTTTGCCTGGAGTAGGCTCAAAATAAGTGTTTGCTGATTGAATCTGTAGATCAATGGGATTCTCAGAAAGGGGAAGAACTTTGGGATCAGAGTTGTATCTGGTAGGAGTCAGTGGCAGGCAAGTGACAATATAATGATGCTAATATATCATTTATCTTGTCATTTGTACATGTCAATCTGTATGTGACATTTGTATAGATTACAGGCTGGCTGTTCACCAGGCTGATTCCTCCACTTCAACAAGAGGGGGCAATGGAACCACCAGTTATTTGCCACACCACCTTGGGGAGGGGGGTGGCTCATCTGTCCCATGTTGGTCCTGTTCCTGCCTTGGAGGCACCACTGGTACCTCACAAGGACATCCTGGCACCCTCTGCACTGGCTTTAACACACTCCGTGGATAGGACTCAGTCAACCATCTGCCAAGTCTGCTCGCAAAGACAGCAGGATGTCATGGAAGAGCCTATCCGCTTAGGAATCCTGAGAGTTCAGCCCTGGCCCTGGCTCAGTCAGTGGTGTGAGGTCTCTGGTTCTCAGTGTTCTGATCTAAATAATAGGGTAATCCTTGATTTGGAGCTTGTGGAGGTGTTGAGCAAATGAAATCACACCCATGGTGATTTCATCTGGAACTCCTTCTGTTTTAAAAGACAGAAGCCAACTCAAACTGGCTTCAGTGAAGAGGGGACTTTATTGGCTCATGTTACTGAGAAATCTGTTTGGGGGCACAATTGGCTTCAGGAGCTCAAATGTAGTGTCAGCATCTGATTTCTCCCCAACTCTCAGCTCTTCTGCTGTACTGTCCTCATTCTCAGTCTCCAAACGGTGGTCCCCAGCAGCTCCAGGGTCTCATGCCTTCAAGTTCAAATCCAGCCTCCCAGCAGCTGGGATTGACTATGGTTGGCTCTATGTGTGTCATTTGGCTGGGGGGATGCAGCCACATTGGATAATCAGACCTGAGTCCAGTGCCAATCAATCCCTATGATGAGTAAGAGAGCTTCGTCAGGCTTGGCTGTATGGTTAACATTTGGAACTGGGAAAGAGTAAGGGTTGGAGTTAGGGGGAGAAGCCCTAGTTTACCTCGAAGATCGAGAATGGGAGAAGAGTGGTCTGCCAAAAGATATTTGGAGTACTATTAACAGAAAGAGAAGTGGATGCTGGGAGGCTAAAATGTGCACTATAACTGGGATTTTTTTTTTTTTTTTTTTGGTTCATTGGGTCTTCTGCTGCCTGCAGACTTTCTCTAGTTGCAGCAAGCGGGGCGCTACTCTTCATTGTGGTGCTCTGGCTTGTCACTGCGCTGGTTTCTCTTGTTGCAGAACACGAACTCCACCGCACAGGTTTCAGTAGTTGTGGTGCACAGGCATAGTTGCTCCGCAGCATGTGGGATCTCCCAGGATCAGAGATCAAACCTGTGTCCGCTGCACTGGCAGGCAGATTCTTAACCACTGGACCACCAAGGAAGTCCTATACCTGGGATTTTTATATCGTATGATATAAAGCATGCATTGCAGCTTCCCTCTTTGCCATGAAGTCTTCTGTCTTCATCCTAAAAAGCTCCTGCAAGCGCCCCAGGACCAGCTGTCTCAACCTACAGTCATCTGTCTTCCTCTGAATTCCTGTAGCCCACAGGACCTTATCACTCACCAGCACCGGGCTGAGTTGGGTCATCAGTTATCTTGTTATGTATATGTCCTTTCTCTTCATCCACTTGGCAGGATCCTGGAGAACAAGGGTCACGTCTTATTCATCTTTGTGCCTCCCAAGCACTTTGCCTGATGCTCGGGGGATAGAAGACTGTCCATGAACCTGCTGACAGATCAAACACCTGATTTACATGCTTCTGGAAGTATGGAAGTAAATAGTAACTTGATTCAACTACAAAACTACCAAAACAGAGGAAACCTGTGCCCTCTACACCATTTCTAAAGGATCGTAGATAATTTCCTCAACTAATAATGATGCTGCGGTCAAGATTTGTTGGGATTTTACTTGCTCCACAGCCCCCAGTAGCTGGTGTCATTCTTTTTTAAAATAGGGGATTGAGTGAAGGCCCAAGGAATCTTAGTCTCAGCTGCCAGTACCCCTGGGTGGGTCCTGTGCCGGCAGAGCAGACATAAAAGCCTGGAGAATGGCAGTCACAGGAAGAGGAAGCAAACGTCTGTCCTCAGTGGCTCCCCGCTCAAGGAACGAGGCAGAGCCCCAGGGTCCCTTCAGTGGGACTGGCTGCTGGCTCCCAGCCCTGTGGTGATCTCTATTCACTCTCTATCCTCATCCATAAGCCTGACATCCAGCAAGGGAAAGGAGAGAGGAGGGCACGGAAAATCAGTCGGAAAAGATCTGCTTTGTAGCTTGAATGTTGAAATAACATTCCTCCCGGGTTAATCTTGGTTCTGAAGCTCCTGTGGCTCCGACCTCAGAATCCCTTGCAGGCCTTCTTGGCCAGGCATTTTGCACTTTTGTCTCTAATCCCCTCAAATCGCCCTTTAGGCCAAGTGACTTGTCCAAATCCGCGCAGCCAAGCCAAGATTCCCTCACCTGTAAAAGATATGGAGAAGGAAACGGCAATCCACTCTAGTATTCTTGTCTGGAGAATCCCATGGACAGAGGAACCTGGCAGGTTACAGTCCATAGGGTCGCACAGTCAGACACGACTTAAGTGACTTAGTAAAACATACGAGGATTAAATCAACGAGCTATAGAGATCCTCCACCTCCTAGTGTAGTCAGGAAAATCAGTTGCGGGGAAAGAACCAAGAACCGTGGTTGGTAAAGGAGGGAGTGGTAAACGAGGTCCGAAGAGCGGTGGGTGGGGCAACTGAGAGAAAAACTAGGCTGGGCGGGTTGCGGCTGGGGGAGGGACTGGGAACCGAGAGCAATGAGCAATTAAACCTCCACTCTTAGCTGCTGGTTCTCGCTGGGCACTAAGCGGTGCCGGGACTACCGGGGAGGCGGTGCGCCAGGCCTGAGGCCCCGCCCCACGTCGCCCTAGCCCCACCCACCCCTAGGCCCCGCCTCTGATTCCACCCCTGCTCCCGCCTCGCTCTACCTCGGCCCCGCCCCAACTTCTAGCTCCGCCCCCAAGGCCCGGAAGCGAAAGCTGTTCCTCCTCTTCCGAGCGGGGTCACGGCCCAGCCGGCGGGAGCCTGGTTTGGAGAGTCCCGGGCACTCGGAGAATCCGGGTAGCCCCGGCTGGAGCCATGTCCCGGAACCTGCGCACTGCTCTCATTTTCGGTGGCTTCATCTCCCTGATCGGCGCCGCCTTCTACCCCATCTACTTCCGGCCCTTAATGCGGCTGGAGGAGTACAGTGAGTGACCTCTGACCCCACGCGGCGTCCCGAGCCCGCTGACAGTGATATCTGACCCCACGCGGCCGCCTGGCCCTAGTAACTCCCCTGATTTCCCTTATCATCCCCACGTGGGGCCATGGACTGAGGTTGGTTCACGAGTCAGCGAGACCCGGGTTAGACTCTGGCTGTGTGCACTTTCATGACCGGGGGTCAAGTGACTCGACCTCTGAGACCTTCACCATCCTCAGTAGTAGTTAACTGTGTGTGTGCGTGCGTTCTGGGTCGCTCAGTCGTGTCCAGCTCTTTGCGATCCCATGGACTGTAGCCTGCCAGGCCACCCTGACCATGGAATTTTCCAAGCAAGAATACTGGAGTGGGTTGCCATTTCCATTGGGATCTTCCCAATCCAGGGGTCGAACCTGCGTCTCTTGTGTCTGTATAATATCTTTAAAACTGGCATCTGGTGAGACTCAAAGGTGGTAATAAAAGCAGTTAACATAGTAGGTCAACACTAAATACTAGTTCATACTGGTATTCACTGGAGGCTTTTTAATGTGTCTTCATTAAGCACGTTGCCAAGATCTCCTGGAGAAGGAAATGGCAACCCGCTTCAGTATTTGTCTTGAGAATTCCAGGTACAGAAGGGTCTGGGGAGCCCCAGTCCATGGGGTCACAAAGAATCGGACATGACTGAGCGACTAATACTGGATCATTTAATTTATGCAGCCTCATTTTGAGGCAGGTTATTATTAAGTGTTTTATGGATGGGGAGTCTCAGAGAGGTTGTATTACATGCCCAAGGACACACAGCTAGTAAGTGGCAAGACTAATATTCCAACTTCCGCCTTCGTTTCCGGGCCTTCTTCCACACCCTGAAGCTGGGAATGGTGATGAAGCTGGGGAGGGATGGCCCCTCCTTATCCTGACCTTGAAGTTGTTTTTATGGCACTTCATTTCCACTCCCAAAGATGTCATTGAGCAGACATGTTTCAAACCTAGACTGTTAACCTGGATTTTTGAGTTTTTCCTCTCCTTTCTTCTCAAATCTTTTTTTCACATACTGCTGTCTTCCTTCGTTTTAAGCCGGCTGCTCACATGACAATGGCGAATATCCTGGGAGTAATTTTCTTCCTTAATCATTCAAGTCCTATCATTCTAAAAGCCAAACTCTCCTTCTCAGAGACCTATACCTTAGCAAGGATTAGCACTTTGGTACATCTGAAACCATCTGTCAGAGAGAAAATATCAGGCATTAGAGGCTCATTTTGTTCTCCAGGAAACCTGAATCATCTTGAAGATGGAAGAAGGCCAGCCATGCCCCTTGAGAATATTAGCGGAGGCTGAAAGCTTGGCGATCTAAAGCCGAAAGCTCCGTGTAAATGCTCTGCCCATTACAAATGCTACAACATTTGGTTTCTGAGACAGAGCGTTTTAAGCACACACTCAGATTTCCTTGCAGCTTCTTTTTTATCACCCGGGATTGAAATGGTCTGCATTCTGCCTTCCAGCCTGTCTCTGTGCACCATGCATGGGGTAAATAAAAATGGGGTTGAGTGAAGCGTTGCATAATCTGTTAACCCTCCTTACAGAATCCTGCTTCACTGTTTTCTGATAGCCTCTAGAGTTGAACTTGGGTCAAGAGGATTCCCCAGAAAAGTTTTAGTCTAGGACGACTAGAGCAGTGGTTTTTCAACTCGGGGTGATTTTTGTCCCCCGGGGACATTTGGTTCACAAAATGGGTGCCATGGGGTGGGGTGGGGTGGGTGAGTGTGCCACAGGCATCTAGCGCATAGAGGCCAGGTTCCTAAAGTTTGTGCAACACGCGGGACAGCCACCCATAACGAAGAATTACCCAGCCCAAAGTGCAGATGTGCCAAGATTGAGAAACCCGCCTCTGGTTCAGGGTGTGGGTTGTGCTGTGTCTCGCAACAACAGTCTTACAGGTCCGTGGTCTATGGTTATCTGAGTCACTTTCAGACAGGCAAATTAGGCCTTTTAAGTGAACACTGAGTGTGTGGCTACAATATCAGCATTTTTAAATGTAAGGCAGTCAACACCTGCCTACGTTTCTGGTTCAATTTTAGTTAATTTGGACACTCTTATCTGAGTTATAACTGAGTCCTTAAACAGGTAAATGATACTGTATAGCTAATATGTATTGAAAACGGATTATATGTCTGACACTCTTCCAAGCACTTTTTATATATTAACCCATTTGGTGCAAACAGCAACCTTTTATGGTAGTTGCTATGTGATCATCATCCCCATTTTATACGTGGACAGACTGGGGTATAAAACAGTTAACTTGTACAA